TGGAAAAAGTAACACAATAGGGGCGAGATAGAGAGAGAGAGAGAGAGAGGAGAACGGCTTCGCGGATGCCTCCGCGTTTCCCTTCCCTATTGTGCGCCGACTCGTGAAAAATGCACACTGATTTTCCGTAACAATGCTGACGAAAGGAGAAATTTTACCGATCGGTCGGGCTAAAGAGATGTACCGTGAAATATTTCCACCCATCTTGCCCGTATCCTCGACGGACAACGAAAAAGTCGCGTTGATTATTAACGTGGCCACCCCTTTTCTCCTTTCTTGCGCGTCGATCGTATCAATTTCGTCGAGCAAAATGACGCGAACAACAAAATGGGGAATCGATCGATCATCGCCACATGGATTAGACGATGTTTCATCCGTGAATTTTGACAATTCTTTTTTTTTTTTTTTCAGTTCGGGATTAAATCTATCTCTCTCGAAAGTCAATTTCTAGAACGCGTAAATCAGCGTGAAATGTAGCATCGTTATTTCGTTCCCAGCGTAAAATAAACTTTATATAATAGAGGGAATAGCGTACCGGTATAAAGTCACGATCGTGAAAAATGTGGCTGGTTTCTCTGGCGAGCGCCTAACCGGGGTACAAGTAGCAGCCTCCTGCCGTATCGTGGAGTGCATACTCTCACGACTTTGACTTGTGTAAAGTCGTTGTTCTAACGCTGCCCCACCTCCACGCACACACACACACTCTCTCTCTCTCTTTCTCTCTCTCTCGAATGCCAGTAGAAAGGAAGTAGACGAAGTTCGTCTGGAAGAAGAAAAAGAAGAAGAAGAAGAAGAAGAAGAAGAAGAGGACCCTTTTTATGGTTTTGCACCGAGTAACCTCCCCGTCGTTTCTTCTCGCTGCAATTCCATCGAGGTCCGCGGGGCTTCAACTTGCTCGAATTGAAAGGAAATCGAATTACAATTAACACCGGCCAACTTGCTTTTCAACTTCCTTTTTATTTTCGTATTTCCCGATGGAAACACCGTCGACTCGAAACAATTTCCACCGACCGATGTGCGATCTAGGAGAAGAAAAAAAAAGAAGAAAAGAGTCGGAAGGAAGACGAGATCCGCCGATATGAGAGAAAATAACAAATTTTGACGATGATGGATAATTAAATATCGCCTCGAACATTTCGAGGTGACGATTAGAAAAGAAAGTTCGAAAAGGCCGCCAAGTTAAACGTTTAAATCGCTCGGCTTATAAAACGTATAAAAACGGATTCCATCGCGAAGCGCAACGTTCGATCCGACGAGTGTTCAGCGCGCGGAGGTGCGAGGAGAACGACGAACGCGGATTATCCACGTTTGGTAGTTGTAGGCACCGTGGGAAGAGGAAGGATTGTAATCACCACTCGAACCTGTAGTGGCACTTTCTCGAGGAGAGAGGACAAGTGGCCGAAAGTATGTCCCTTATTGTGCTCGTAAATGATTTTATTTGACCCTCGGATTACTCCGCCGCGGAGAAAAGGCGCGCGCAAACACTCGAGGGACCTGTTTAGCCGCGGCTCCCATTAATGTCCATTATTGTTGAGGGAAGGAACACGAGGTTTCTCGTCGAGTGTCTCTCGGAGACCGCCGTTCGAAATGGCGAAACCGCGAATGGGCCGTTCTTCTTCACGATCGAAGGAGAGAGGCGCGCGCGTAAATTAAAAATTTATCGTGTTTAGAAATTTCGCTACGGGCGACTTTACCAAAAAATGTGCACGGTGCGTTTACGCCTCGCGATTCGAGTTGCTTCGACGGTTTTATTGAGAAAAAAAAAAAAAAAAAAAGAAAAATCGATAAAAATAAAATATTGAAAGAGAAAGATACTATAGATGCGCAATAAATCCAAACAGGTCGTCGTATCGTACGATACGCGGTATCTAACGAAGGGTTAAAAATTTCGTGAGATGTATTTCGTTTGTCGAGTAATAACCGCGAATGGGCCGTTCCTCTTTTCTTAAACAAAGAACGAACGAGGACGATGATTTAACGCGCCTTTTCTTTTTCTCTTTAATATTGCCACCATGTTGGCGAAAATTTCGCGAGACGTAACCGTATTTCGTTGACGCGGATACGAGGAGAGGAATGCCTCGCGATCGACTGAGACGCGTGGAGAATTATTTGCATAAACTGTTCGACTCGGCAGCGTGGCATTTGTCCATCCTGCTCTCTAATCTCGCGCGTGAACGAGTCGTTAGTCTTCCTCGAGGTGCACGTCGTTCGGGAAACGCGACAACCGGCGCTGAGTCATTCGGTTGATGCGAGCGAGAGAGAGAGGAAAAAAGGACAGGGTTCGAGCGGAGAGCAATCGAAGTTGGGCCGTTCCCAAACGTAATTCTCGTGAATCGCATTCTGATCTTCGCCACCGGGGTCGTTTATCAACCTCTCGATTCGACTGCTCCTCGAAATTCCTCGATTCCTAAATTTTGGAGTAGAATCACCTGTATCGATAATAAAAACTGCGAAAAGTGTAGAAATCGAAATGATTGGAAATGTTTTAAGTAGGAAGCTAAAGAATTTTAAGTCAAGCGAAAGGGTAAAAAAAAAGTTTCATCTTCGAAAGGTTGAACGACCAAACCTCGAATTAGAAGAAACTTGGACCGCGTAACATCTGGAAACGGGTCTCGCTTCATCGTCGCCAGTAATTTCGTTCTCGTTCCATCATTTGTCTGCGACTGCCTAAGACGTTTATCCGTTAATTAACCGGTCGCACGATAGATTTATCCGACGAAAGTGGACCGTGCTCGTTCCCCGATTTGTTCGTATAAGCTATACTCGGGGCTGGGTCGCCGTTTATTGGCCGTTCGCGTGATTTATCATCGCGAGATGAACGCGCGCGATATAATGATCGTCGGAAAAGGAAGGAAACGTCCTCGGGGGGGGGGGGAGAAAACTGATGCGATTTTTTTGGGTCAATCAGTCGGCATTGGCAAGGCTTCACCGGATAAAAACGGCAATTCTCACGACGATCTTTTTCTCGACCTTTACGACTCGAGTTTACTCTTTTCCCGCGTTCCATTAAGTTGTTAACGCGATTAAGAAACGACGATGCGTGTATTTCTTAGATCCACAAATCGATCCTCGCCTCGCGCAAAAAACTTTAGCTTTAACTTTAACGTTCGACACGGGAGAAGAATATCGGTCATCGTATATCGAATCCATTATTTATAGGAAGAAGAGGGGGGGGGGGAGGGAGGGAGGGATATGTACACGAGTTTTCGATGAATCGACCGTATCCGCGAAAAGTGCATGCGCCGATCCGCTCCAAGGGAATTCAGGGATACAAAAGCGGATGGAAAAGCGAGGTCCCATGTATATGTATATGTGCGCTACTGTCCTCGCGTGTGTCGCGTTATATACGTATCGCACACACAAGTTACCTTTCTGCAATAAAATACAGCGGCGCGCGTAAAACGGCGACGCGCTCTGGCGAGGCAAAGAACAACAAACAGCGAGTCAGGACGGACGATTTACATGCATAAACTGCCTTCCCTCCGATTCTTTTTATCCTCCATTTCCAACCTCCCCTCCGTATCGTCCACCCCTTTCCTTTATCCGGCCCGCTGCAATTTCTTTCAGATTCGCTCCCTTAATAACGCGAGATTTTCCGGAATTATTACAAGGAGGGGGATCCTTCCGATCTCAATCCTCGGACGATATCGCTTAAACCATCGTGAATATGCTATTTTCCTTTTCAACGTTTACGATATATAATTTCAAACTCATCGTCCATTACCGGCGGAGTAAGATGAAAACAAGTTTTCGAGATTTAGATAGGAACGATTAAATGTTTCGAAGGAATTTATTCGAAGGAGGAGGTTGAGGACGAGGCTCGTTAAAAGGAGGGGGGGGAGTAAAAGTTAAGTTTCGGAGTTATCTTTCGAATCGTGGAATTTCAGGTTTTGGATTCACGAGTTGAGAAGTGTCGTTCTCAAAGAGTACCAAGAGTTACCGGATGTTCCTCAACATCCAGATGCTTCCCCTCGGACCTTTCTCGGTCGGATCCTTAAAACTTTGCCTCTTTATACGCGAGACGTGCACAGCCTGGTCTCCCCTCCCCTCCACTCCCGACCTCCGCCAAGTTCGACGTGTTCGGAATCGTTTCTGTTGACTCTAACGAGTCCGAGTCCCGACTTGTGCCGGGTTTGACGAGGCTGGCGTCAAGACCCTTGTCGGATCTAATTAGCCCACCAGGCGCCTCCTCCTGTTCGACCTTGCTTGCCAGTTCACCGCCGTGTCAACCGCGATTCGAGTTGCCGCGAAATTCGTGAGCGAATTCTTTCCGCTCCGAAATTAATTGCCTCCGATCGATACGAACCTATGTCAAACCTATCTTTCGAAGAAATATCGATAAGTTTTAACGATCGAACGAAAAAAGTTTTATCGTTTCTCGAGAAAGGCGATTTTTTTTCTTTTTAAAACTATCGGATCGTATAATTCTAGTTGGTAAACCACGTCGATTACTGTATTATTCATCGCCAAAAAATAGGATTACGCGTTAAAAATAGTAGCGACGCGTTACGTGGCTAGGATAAAAGCGGTTGGGAGGGTACAATTTAATCGAAACGGTCTCATCCGTTTAATGATCCGTCAACGGACAAAAGCGACAAATTGCGAAGGCCGTAACGAAGCACGTCAGCCGTCCCGATGAAAACCAAAGCAAGATATCGGGGATAGAAAGAGAAACCAAGTGATTTAAGTTTCCATTCAAAGCGACGCGCCGCTTCTTAAATTACGCCTTTCGTGTCCCCGTCGCACCGGTGACATGTTTGTGCCCGAGGAATCTTCCACATTTTCAAAATAACGTCGCTCCGCTGTCCGCTCTGATAAAAACAGACAGCGAGAGAAAGAGAGAGACTCGGGCACCGCTTTTATATCGTCCTATTAAATCAAATACCAGACGGAAACTCTCTCTCTCTCTCTCTCTCTCTCTCTC